TCGTTGCAATTTTGACAAAGGTCAACACTAAAGTGTGCAATTTAACATCTCTATGAATTCTACTACTTTGGTTGAAATACTATGTGGACTACCTTAAATTAGCAAATTTCTCCTGAAATAGACCAAAAAGTCATTTCTTAGGTGACATTGTGACATTTTCCTTCCTGTTGGTTATTTATGAAATCTAAAATCTTTTATGAAATCTAAAAAACTTTTTAGTAGATTCAATTATGAATGGTGAATTATCCACATTCTATAGTCACTACCAATAAGACAACCAATAAACACATAGTGTATTCACTATAAGAAAATTTATGATGTCTCTCATCATTTAAAAAGAGTTTGTTAATCAATCCAAGTTAATTCTTAGAGTACTCCTTGTTTAGTTGCATCTACTATACTGAAATATTTCCTCACAATTTATAAGATTATCATCAGTAACACTCCTACTCCTGATAGAATGTCATTAAACATCCCAGTTTCATGCTGAATTTTAATCAATGTGTATAGTACAAATATAAATATGAAGGAGATTTACTCAATCTGTTGGAAGCTACTGAAAATGGACATAAAAACAACCTAAAAAGAACCTTATTTCAGTAAAAAACATTGTCAAATGACATAATGTTAATTTTGAGTTATTAACATGTATTACTACTATTTCTAGATAAAGAATCTGAAAAATATGTTTCTTAGATTAAAAAATTAAAATTTCTTTGTCAATGCAAATTTATATAACTTATCAACAATTCTCAAACTTTGCAACAGATCTAATAATATATTACTTGACATTTCATAGTTTTACTGGAAATCCCCATTGAAAGAAGCCAAAAAAAATATGTATGTATCTTCCTTCTTGGTTATAATTGGTGGTATTAGATTATGCTCTCTTGAGGTTAAACAGGCTACCAGAAACAGAAAGAAGGGAGCTACCCTTTGCTGGTCACCTCTATGTGTTTCCTCTGTTCTGTCATTTGTCTTATTTAATCTACCTTAAAAATCCAACCAAATTTCTGTGTCTTTTGTTTAGAAACTAACCACAGAAGATAATAGTCTGATCTTAAATGATTTCAGTGAGTTAAACGGCACCTTATTTTATAACAGGGATTAAAATCTAGTCCAACGATATGTAGGAATATCCAACTATGAGTCAGAAATGATTGGCTTATGATCTTTTAACTTAGGTGTAGGTAAGATTTTTTGAAGACAGAAACTGCAATTTAACCACAAACACCTGTGTTTTTAAACAACACATTGGTAGGGCTTCTTGCTCAAAATATTACAAAACATCAAATACATCAAAGTGATGAAACATTTTTTTCCAGATGTTTAAAAAAGGCCTTTCATTTAGGGCTTTCGGTGGTCTTAACACATTTTGCCATGTTTATATAGGAGTAACATAATGATTTCATGATTAACAGTAGCTCAAGGGAGCTGCTAATTAGTTAGATAAGATCACATCTAAAAAATAACACAAGAACATTTGCTTGAGAAGCTTCTGAAATCTTGACCTTATAGAAGAGACTGCAAGAAACATTTGATTGATAATAAGAATAAAAGGTTAAAGTGATATCTGAATACATAAGAACTCCTTAAAATATGTTTTTAGGGTCTCATTTAAAATAATTGTATTTTCAGATATTATCTATTGCATAGCTTTTGGAAACACCGATTAAAGTGAAAAAAAAAAAAACCTCACTATTAGAGGGTTACATATATCATTAATATATAAAGAAAACTTCTTTAAAAATCAATTAGCAGGAGATTGATAATGAAGGAAGGGAATTTAAATGACATTGTTTCTTTTCTGAAGAGCTATTTCTTATAATTGATGCATCTTAGTTAAAAACACAACTAAAATTTATAAATTCAGAAGCCTCACATAATGATAAAAATTGACTCTATGTCAACAATTCAAAAACAGAATCACCCTATACATTATCTATAAAAATGTTAATCTTATTTCAACAAAGACCCTTACAACCACAACAATGTATAATCGAACAGATTATATTCTCTTGAGGAGAAAACACTAAAAATAATAACAATTCTGGAGCATTTTCTTTCATGATGTCAAAAAAAAAGGAAAAACAAATATAAGTAAAGATATCAATTTGTCTTGCCTTACAGATTTTGACTGTTTTGACACAACAGAAAAAAAGACATATACTGGAAGAACTGGTCCTTGAATTGACAGAAAATCTGTCACTAATGGAATGAATCAATTTCAGCATACAAGTGACTTTAAGAAGACAGTTGAAAAACCGTTTTTTAAAAAAAAGTGATGGATGAAGGTCTTCATTGAAGAGTACACCCTGAATCATGTAAAAATATTTGTTTATTTTTATCTTTCTAAAGAAAATTGCCATTGGCAATCCCTTCATGTGGATATTTCTAGAGTCTATCAGCCTGTCTGAGATACTTACAGAGTGTCAGATATTTTGTCTTATTCCACATGGCATTATGACACATATAATACTAGCTAAACTCAGTTAATCTGAAGTATGACTGGAACATTTCCAATTTAAAAAATATTACACAGCACCAAAGAACAAGTTTAACTTTACCATTCAATTCCAACAAATAGAAAGGAGTTTTTCCATGGTTTCTTCAAATTCAGAACTTAAAAACTTCATAAAGTTTATATATTATAACAATTTAGTTCCTGTATCTTTCATGTGGAGTTTTAGATTTCTTTTTCAAATATTATTTTAAATTTGAGGATGTTATCAGTTGGCCTCTTAAACTGAGGGTCAAAATTATATATAGGTCCATATCAATAAACTGAATCATATTTGAAACCATTCATTCATTCATTCATTCATTCGACAAATAGTTATTGAATGCCTACCATATGTCAAGTGTTTAGTTAGGTACTGCACAAAAGTTGGGAAAGTCAAAAAGACATATGTGGTCCTATCTCTACTGGAATAAACAATCTATCATAAAAACACAATTTCCAACATCGTGTGATAATGCTACAGTGAGAGAATTAGAGATGACACAGTAGTACACGGGAGAGAACTTAAGCCAAATTTGGTGTGGGATGGAGCTGGTAGCAAAGCCTAATTAAAATTGTAAATTGTGGCATACTCTGGATGCACCCAGAGGAAAGTGTATCCAAATTGCAGCTGAAGGATTTAACCAATGGAGGCTGGGAATGTTGTGAACAGAGGTTCTATTTCCATTTTTTTTCCTCTAGGAAGAGAACATTTACAAAGAAATGGAAAGAGAATGATAGTGTTTGGTTTAAGAAACGGAAACAAATTTAGAAGAGTGTGGTAAAAGATGAATGGGGCCAAGTCACGCAAATACTTTTAGGGTATATCAAAGTATGCGCACTTTATTCTGAAGTTGATAAGAAGCAATCAAAAGATTTGAAAAAATGGAGTAAGAGAATCATATAAGCATGCTGAAAAATATCAAACTGGTAATAATTTGAGAAATAGATTTTAAGAGAGTGAGACCAGAAAATGGAAAGCTGATTAAGGGGCTTCTGCAAAAACTCAGGTGAAAGAGGGTGGTAGCCTAAATCATGGAAGTGGCAGTAGGGATGGTGAGAAGTTAAATGATTTTAAGTAGCTGAATCCTTTTTTCAGTAATTGAAATAAACAATACTTACTAAATTAGGAAATTGGTGACAGTGAGGTTGGCAGGAAGATAAGAAGCAGAGAAAGATCGCCTGGAGGACTTTGAGAAGCCTCAGCTAAGAGGATGAAAGAAACAAAGTATGATGTCATGCAAACCAAATAAAAGGAATGGTTTATGAAAGAGGTAATGTCTTAAGAGCATGAACACGGTGTTGCTCATTCATGTGTCACCACTATGTGATGCTTCATAGGTGCATCACCAATAAACACTTGTTAAATGAATGATTTAATTTAATAAGTACTGCGACATACAAGGGAAGAACATCAGGCTGGGCTCTGGGAAGATAAATATATTTCAAAATCAAAAAGTCGTAGAATAGTAAAAGGAGAAAGACACACATAATTATTCATAAAGTATGGTGGTTAATGAAAGAATTCAATAAAGTTCCAGATCAATGTTGATACAGATAGAATGTCAGGGAAAAGTAAAGAAAAAAGTAGATATTTCTAACTGCCGGAACAGAGAAAAGTAAGGCCCAGAGAAGAAAAGGCTGAGAAGAGACTACCATAAGTTTCGGGTGACTTGGCAAGAGTTTCAGATGTGGCAAATGTGGTTTGATGAGTGACATTTCCTATTTTAATTGTTTTCATGATTTCCAGTAATACAAGGAATACCACAATTTTGAAACTCATGGATAGAGCACAAATATCGGTAAGAATAGAATTCATGTCTTCCAAATAAAATGGCCTCATTTTAGAATTAAACTGTCTTACTTTTCTTTGCCATAAAGGACATTAACAAATCTGTGCGTACTTAAACATACTCCACAAATAAATGCATTTCAAGGAGACGGTTTTTAAAAACTATGAACTGTAACCTTACTTCATTTGCAAATGATAAATAGACTGCAGTGTCTCTGCTTTCCTTCTATAAGCTAGCTCTCTTATGAGAACCTAATCAAATTGCTCCATTGCTTAGCAACCACAGGGA